AAGAGTTAGTTGTGAGTGTGTGTTAGATTGTGTGTGTGTGTGTGTGTGTGTGTGTGTGTGTGTGTGTGTGTGTGCATGGGTGTGCAGAAGGAGCTGAGGAAAGAGAATGAGAAGCTAGGCAGGAGAGAGAGCAAAAGAAATTTTTCAGAAAGAGATTCTGAGATGTGTGTTTGCAAAGAGAGATATATAGCTGTATGTTAAGAGATGTAGCTGTGTGAAGACAGATTTTCAGAGAAAGAGATTTTTTTATATGAAGTAAAAGAGAAAGTTACCAGCAGAAAGAGTGTGTTTTGTTATTTTTTCCCCCTCAGATAGAAAAGGTTTAGCCCTCACTGAATTTGTGGATTTTTTTTTTTCCATACCCTGGTAGTGACTAGAGGCTGGCCCTCCAGCTACCGATAGAAACTGCATAGATTATTTATCTTTTTGATTTGTATTTATTTGTTTATTTTTGAGGTGGGGTCTCCTGTAGCCTAGGCTGTCCCTGAACTTGCTACGTAACTGAGGATGACCTTGGACTTTTGACCCTTCTGCTTCCAGTTTCCAAGTAATGGGATTATAGGCATGGCAACCATACTTGCTTTGTTCAGAGCTGGGGTATAATTTGGGGGATTGGGCGTGTTCAGCAGGTGCTTCACCAACTGCGCTACATCTCCAGGCATTTGGGTCACTTTCTCCTTCTAATCTTGGAACCCTTTCCTCCTAAAATGCCTGCCACCTGGAATGACTGCCTCTGAAGACTCCCGCAGAGCCTAAGACCTCTCACTCAGGTGTGGAGTTGGAAAGTCTGGCCTGTTCCAGATCTACCATCTACTCCCAGGGATCCTAGCCCTGCCATTTTACTTTCCTGAGCCCCAGTCTCTGTGTGAAATAAGCTTCATACCTTCTCCCTCTCCCTCAGATCTAGAGCTGTGAGGGAGACAATGAAATAATCACTGGGCCTGATGTTTATTATAACTTGTATGCACCGGGCACATTTGTTCTCAAAATTCTCTGAAGAATTTGAAGCACAGGGAAGTAACAAACGCAAAGACATAGAACCCAACAGGCTTTAGGGAAGCGGTTCTCAGCTTCATAACTGTATTTTTTTTTTTTTTTTGGTTTTTCGAGACAGGGTTTCTCTGTGTAGCTTTGTGCCTTTCCTGGGACTCACTTGGTAGCCCAGGCTGGCCTCGAACTCACAGAGATCCGCCTGGCTCTGCCTCCCGAGTGCTGGGATTAAAGGCGTGCGCTACCACCGCCCGGCTTCATAACTGTATTTTTGCTACTGTTATGAATCATAATATAAATATCTGATATGCAATCTACAAGGGAGTTGCGACACACAGGTTGAGAACAGGAAACCCCTCTGTGAGCAGAGGTGAGCTGGTTATGCTAGGAGTTCTTCTCAAGGACGGTTCCTTGTTGGGCAGACCTACTGATCTTGAGGGTGTTTCGTGTGAAGACTAGCTGACATGATGTCTCATCCATAGCAGAGCCTCGATATCTCTAGCTCTTATCCCCCTCTCCTGAATTTCAGGAGATTTACAATATCTATCATTTAGAGTTTGATACTTGTGTACAGTCAGTTGGCAACCCCATGATGCTCAAAAGCCTTTAAATGTCCTGTAACTCGTGGTAGCACAGGACCAATGGACACTTCCCTGTTGTCATTTAAATGGACTTAATAAATAACTGAGCCTTTACTCTGTTAGGCTAGGTGTTGGGGAACTAAGAACAGCTGGCCCTCGGCCTCTGGCAGCATCAAATATGCATTGGGACATTGTTTCACAACAGACATGAACTCCTAAGAGTGATCATAAAACACTTCCTGAAGGAACAGCTCTCTCTCCTCTCCCTCATTTTATACCCTCTCGCTCAGTACTTTCCAAAGCATAATACACAGACACCCTTCAGGGGCCAATGAGGTCAAGAATATTTAGGTAACAGGACTTCATTTGCCTCGTCAGTGTCTTTTACATGGGCACTGGTGATACAAGATCAGCATAAGGTAAGACTGCCAAGTCGCAGAGAGAGACAAGGCAGAGGCACTGAACTGCATTAGTTCTCGGTGTACTCTGCACGGCTGTGCGCTTGTCGGGAGAAGGCAGAGGCAGGGGTTTATCTGGGATCGTCCTTCATGGAGCAACCAAACCTATCCTATTGTACTGTGATCTTTGATTACACATCCTTTTAATATTCTGTATGATAAAAAACACACCAAGTCCCATGGCATATTGAAATACAGTTGTGCAAAAGGGAAGCAATACGTAGTTGGTTACACACTGACCCAACTTTGTTTTTCTTAAAACACCATTTTTATTTGAAAAAAAAAAGTTAAGAAGTTATGGTTATTTAGGCTTGGATATTTGGGCAGATATTTTCTTCAAAACTTACAAAATTAGTCTGTTACCTCAAGGAAAACACTTAACAATATGTGGATGAATAATAAATTTGAGTTTTCAAGCAAAAAGTCAGATCTCTGGAGAATTAATTGATATGCTGCCATGGGTTTGATAGTATCCTATTCGAGATCTTTTCCAGGGTGACAGCATTAATGAATATGATCTTTTGGTGTCCCATAAAGAAATCAACAAACACCAGCAAATGCTATGAAGCATAATGAGGCAGCATTTCCCCAAACAGCCAGTTCGTGACTTAGGTATTGATCCAAGATTTGTGCAAATAGTACAGAAAGTTCTTCATTAATCTAGTTTCAGATTCTGTATTGCAACTGATCTTGAAGAAGCTTGTACAGAAGGGCACACAGTTTCAAAGGAATATTCATGATATTCATCTTGAATAAGGTTACCAAAACATTCCTGTTTATAACGACACACTGTAATGAAGGATCTAATTTCTTCCTGTCCTTCAACGGTGGTGATGTGTTAGCATAGAGTGAATGAAGGAGCACTTGTGAGAGACCCAGCTTCCTTTACGAAGCCAGATTTCGACAGGATCGGAGGAACACTCAAAGCAATACTACTTCACGAATTTTTCATTTTGTAAAATAGTTGTTATTTTCTTATCAGGGTTATGTTGTTTATATGAACTCGTAACTATTAAATATTTAATTTTTTCAGTCATTATACTTAGTGGAAATAAATGTCAGTAGTCACTGGCCACATAGAGAAAAATATTTTTTTTTGTTTTAAATCCTTAACACATTTCAAGGTGTACAAGAGTAACCAGTATCAAAGTTTGGGATTGTTTCCCAAATATCATGGTTCTCAGCTGTAACAGAAATTTAGAATCATCTAGAAAAATTACTAAATCAAAACACAAACACAAGCCAAATAAAACAAAGTGCCCAGGCCCAGCTGTAGGATCAAGTGAAGAACCACAGAGTGGTTGGTACATACAGGTTCTGTCTGTCTAGGAGGTTTCAATATGCAGCCAGGGCTGGGAGCCAGGGCTCTGACCTCCCTGTGTTTTCCTCACAGAGAGGCAGCAGAAAGTGATGAGACCGTGGAAAGGAGCTGGACAGCTAATGTTGGGCCTCAGAAGCTGTCTAGAGAGGTGACAGGATGGGCCTTGAAGTCTAGTTGCAATGAATGACTTCAATGTGGAACACAGCTGGAGTTCACTAAGAAGCCCAGGTGGATTCATCTGGGACATCTAGAAGAAGGATTTCTAGAGTAGGTCCATCCTTTCCCTGGGAGGGAGGTTGCCATCCCCCACCTCAAGGGAGCCCATCATCCTTGGTCTGGTGGTAGAAGTCTTCTGACTACCTTAGCTGCAAGAATTGGTGTCCAGACTTTTTAGGACTGTTGAACTAACGAGGGACCTTCTCAAGGTCTCTCATTATTGCCCCTTTCTGAAATAAAACATGTGCTGAGGATACTCACAGTCCAGCAGAGGATGGCAAATCCAAACCAGGCAACTCCCCAGGCATGCCGATCCATTGGTCCAGAGATCAGTTCATAGCAGCCCTGGGAAGGCGGCATGAGTTACATTAATATGGAGAGGCTAGAGCAGAGATAAGAACTGATGCCGTTGGATTAATAATTGACAACCACGCAAGGCTAGAGTTGCCATCTAAGGGACTCTACACAATCTTAGGGATCACAGGGAACACCCAGGAAATGCACAAGCCCGGCGATTCCATGCACTGAAAGGTCCAGAGGCAAGTGTGCTGGATTTGTCTGCAAATTTCAACAACTATTCTAGGTCGGCCATGAAGTTCAGGCTCCACCCAGTGGCTACAGGTGTGCACTTGAGGTTCTGTCTCCCATGATTCGGTGTCCTCACCTTCTTAAGCCATATACATGCCGATTTCCTCCACCCCTGTACTTTAATAGTTCCCTCAATTCCTCTATTACATTGCAGAATGCCCAAATGAAGACTCCTGAAATTTTCCTTGCTTTCTTTATCCAACATTCAACACATAAGCAAATCCTTTAGGGTCTATTTAAAAGTATCACAAATGCAGACACTCCCAAGTCTTTTTCCTTGTACCACTCTGGCCCCTACAGGGCCTCACTTGAGGGTTAAGCCCATCTCCAAGAAGAGCATGCATGGGCATCCTCCTGTGTTACTGATTCAGCAGATCATGGGACAGGGCCTAGCACATCTGACCCCACTCAGTAGATCTAGGTTTAACCATCCCTTCTAGACATCTCACAATCACTCTGGCCTTGTAGGGCTCCAAAGTGCTAAGGATTGTACAGGCTGCTTCCTTTGCTTAGAAGTGTTCCCTAACACTCCAGTTCCCCATCTCCGCATATAATTCAGAACTCTGCAGATATCATCTCAACAAAGGCGTTCTGGACAGCCACAGAAAAGGCAGCTTCCTTTTTATTATACTCCATTTACAAACCCTGCTTTATGTCTGCCCCTGGCATTGCCACTTTCTGGAATTTGTGTATTTGTGTGCAGTGGGTTCCTTATTTGTCATCTATAATAAAAAGCAGCCTCCACAAGGGCAGAGGTTTTGAGTGCTTGGCATCTAGTAGGTACCCAACAATACTTTACAGAATGAGAGCTTGTAATCCCAGCATTTAGGAAGCTTAGGCAAGAGAATTATAAATTCAAAGCCAGTCTGAGTTACATAATAATGAGTTTAAGGCCATTCAGAGCTACATAAAGAGTTCAAAGCCAGCCTGAGCTACAGAATGACATCTTATCTTAAACAAATGAATGAATAAATGAAAGAACAAGAAAACAGACAATTAAAAGATACTAATTAATGTTTACAATCTTCACTTGGAAAACACAGAACACTCCCATTCTCTTGAAAATCTTGGGAGGTAATCATTCATCAAATACTATATGTAAAAGACAATTTATGCCACGTGCTGGATCCTGACTTGGTCACTTAGCTGGGGCAAGACAGAAAGGACTCTTGTCTTTGTGGGACTCACAGTCAAAATCTCCAGTTTTCCAACTCATTACTGAGTTTCCAGGAGGCTAATCATTTCATTAGGACTTTACACTCTTAGTATATATTAATATTCTTGAGGTAAAGTCATCAGAATTTGTATGTAGCATTTTTCAATGCTTATGAAGCCTAAGTGTGTGTGTGTGTGTGTGTGTGTGTGTGTGTGTGTGTGTGTGTGTGTATGTGTGTTTGACCTACTATGTGGAATTCTGGTTGATTTCCCTCATTTCCCTCATTACTATGCTTAGACTCTCTTTTCTAGTTTTACCAGTTTTTATAGCCGTAGCCACACTTTGGAGCATTGCGAGTGTTGAAAAGCTTCAGCATGCTTATGAAGGGGAGTCATCCACTCCTTCATTCCCTTATCCACCCACCGAACAGTTATTGAGTATCTGTCTTGTGCCAATCATTGCGCCAAGTACTGGAGATAGAGAACTAAGTAATGCAGTCCTTCAGGCAGCTCTTAGAAAGTTATGGACAAGGTACATTGAAAAACAGCAGCCAAGCATAGCAGGTATTGGGTGGACTGTTTTCTTGTGTAGCCAAGGATTGCTGGAGTGGAATTAGCGGCACCTGTATGTCAGAAAGTGGGGATGTATGGGAATCTGGGGGAGCGAGATAGGGGGAGTCAGGCTGATAGATCTGCTTAGGTTCAGGGTGAAGAGTGAGTGAGATTGAGGAAGTGGGGGCGAAGGAAGAGAGGGAGAGATGTCAGAACTTGGGAGCTCCGTTGAAGAGTGGGGCTGACTGGTGATGTCTTATGCCTGTGGTTCAGCTGGCTGGTCGTGGAGATGGAGACACGGAAGGCAGGGAAGGTCAAAGGACGGTGTCCAGATGGGTGTGGAGGTCCCAAAACAGTCGAAGGAAAAGGAGTGAATTTGTGTTTCGCCTTCAAACACATCTATCTAAGCCTGAGTAAGTGGTTTTAGTAGATTTTCATAGCTGGAGTGTTCTGTATTGCAGGGGGAAGACAAGGCTTTGCAATAATTGGAAGGTGGATGCCCTTTTTGTCCCTTTTAGAGAGAAGACACTGTTGGCACAAGACTGTAATTCAGTAAAGACTGGTGTGCACGGGCCACTTGCAATGCTGAAAACATTTCATGTTTTGAATGTTTCATGAGTAGTTTGAATAGTTGGAGTGATGGTTACATCTTATGCTGATTATAAGCAATACATTTATTTTTTTATTACAGCCCGAGTATAACTGACTAAAACAAGGCCATAACAAGGTAGCTATAAAGCTCAGTGAGGGTTGCTCTGCTACAAAATCATCGGTGTCACTCCCATGTCCTTTGTGAATGAACACATCCACTTGCAGTCCAGGTACCCGCCAGGTGTAACAATGGCGTCGCTCACTGCAGATGTATGGATGGCTTGTGGCATTACTTCTGTAGGGAAAAGCCTGATGCTTCTCAATTATTTGACAGACTGACGTACTGCTAGGCTTCCTCACATTGACCACTCCCAAAGCAGGGTAGCAGAGTGTTTCGGTGTGCTGTGTCAACAGACACTGGTTTACAGGGTCTGGGAAAGCTCACTAAGACTTTGGAGGACTATTTCCAAGGATGTGGTGTCTGTGCTTTCAAGCTCTATGGCTTGGGGTTGAAGCCTGGCAGCCATTTACTAATTGTGTGAACTCGGGCAAGGCCCGATTAGCTTCTCTCGCTCATGTACAGACCACAGAGCACAGCCAGCAGTGATGTTGGAGCACCCCAGGCATTATAGTCTGTGTGTGGCACAGGACACAACATCTGGCCTTCAGGAAGACCTCAGTAAGTGTTTCGTGATCATCATCAGGATGCTTTCATCAGCCCAGAAGCACTATGATAAAAACCATATGCATGTAAATATTTCAGCCCAAATCTCCAATTTAATCCTGTTAAACACTGCCCGCCTCTGACCTCAGCAACTGCCATTGTTTTGGAGCTGAATAATATTCTCTTCGTATATCAACCTTTCCGATTTACATTTTGCATGCCTTCCTCTAATGCAGATATTTCTCACAGAACCAATTCTAGACATTACACAGATTGTCTTTATTGACACCAAGTTGGTTTGTGCTATGGAAATCCTCATGTTGCAGTAATTTTACTAAAATTAAATTTGCAGCAATTCTAAATGAGCACTCACAGAGACGGAACTAGATAACACGAGGTGTAGGGAAACATGTAGACTTCCTTACGACATTACTCACAGCCGACCATTGTTTCCTTCATAAAGCGCAGAAGCGCTTCCTGCTAGGTCTTCGGAGGGGAGGGGACTCACCTGACTGTGGTAATAACCCGGCACTCCGAGTTTGCAAGCGTCCAGGTTGACAGGCTCCATGACCTTGTTCATGACGCAGCACTGCCGAGGCCAGGGAAAGTCAGCATCGTTATTCTTCTCCCGGAAGGCAGAGGTGTATTTCTGCCAGTCTGATGGACCATTTACACCACAGCAGTGGTCCTGCCAGAGGATAAGAGACACAACGTTATCTTTATGACCCATACCAAAGCCATCAATGTCACAACCTAAAGCTTTGTGGAGAGAGTACTAGAAAGCATACCATATCTTACATGACTCCAATATTTCCAAGCTGGAGCTCAAGGTTTTTATGTTATTAATTTACCAGCCATTAATGGACATAACACTGTAAGTTTCTAAGGCAGTAGTTCTCAACCTGTGGGTCACAACCCTTTGGGGGTTGGACTGATTCTTTCACAGGGGTCGCATATCAGATATCCTGCATTGTCGATACTGTAATCCTCAGCGAAAGCAGGGGATGATTGGAAGGTGTTGATAAAAAGCCCCAGTAAGGAGACCACAGGCTGATGGCGTGGACTTCAAGTGTTTGAACAAGGAGGGAACCAAGGGAAGAGAGAATATAGAAGCTGTGCAGAGAAGGGGGGAAACCTAATCGATTTCTAGGTCTTAGGGCACATGGGGGTAAGAAGACAGGCAGGGCACACTAGGGGGCAGCCAGGTTTCTAGTGAAGCAGGATGTCAAGACAGTGTTGAAAGTGGTAGACAGAAAGGCTGGGATATGTGTGAGTGTGTGTTTGTGTGTGTGTGTGTGAGAGAGAGAGAGTGTGTGTGTGTGAGTGTGAGTGATAGTGTGTAAGTATGTGTGTATGTGAGAGTTGTGTGTGTGTATATATGTGTGTATGTGAGAGTATGTGTGTGTATGTGTGTGTGAAAGTGTGAGTGATAGTGTCTAAGTGTGTGTGTGTGAGAATGTGTGTGAGTGTGAGTGATAGTGTGTGTGTGTGAGAATGTGTGTGTGTGAGAGTGTGAGTGATAGTGTGTAAGTGTGTGTGTGAGAATGTGTGTGAGAGTGTGAGTGATAGTGTGTAAGTGTGTGTGTGAGTGATAGTGTGTAAGTGTGTGTGTATGTGAGAGTGTGTGTGTATGTGTGTGTATGTGAGAGTGTGTGTGTGTATGTGAGAGTGTGTGTGTGTGAGAGTGTGAGTGATAGTGTGTAAGTGTGTGTGTGTGTGTGTGTGTTGGGCCAATGAAGAGTAGGCTCATATTAGAGGTTATACACAAAAGACAAAATGGGGCAATATTCTTGGAAGACTTGGGGTTCTGATGGTATTTGGAATAAGTTTGGATATATGGAATGATGGCCACTTAAAACTGGGTGATTAAATCAAATCACATCTCCTGATACTTAGCAGAATTCTTCATAGGAGATATAAAAAGGTGAGACAAGTACCTATCACTATTTGAGTTTGCTGTGTGTGTGGGGGGGAGAAGGCCCCCTGTTCTGTCAATGTAAGGGAGACCTAACATCATAAGAGGCAGAACATATTATTAATCTAACGTTTTTTTAAACATACACTCTATAAAGGTAGGCTAATCAGCATTATAGCTTGATATAAAATATGGATCCCGAGGCCTCACTGAATTGTGTTTAGCATTCCCCCTTCCTCACCCTCACCAGTAAACAAGAGGCATTTCTGACCCTGCCAGGAACAAGTCTCTACCTGAAGGAAGCCGCTGGAGACACTGACCTCACTCCCACTCACATTCAGGTTGTTCCTGGTTCAGATGTGCAGTGGCCCACCGCAGGACCACACGCCTTACCTGCAGCATGAGCCTATCCCAGGTCTTGGTAACGCCGGCGTTTTTCCACTCATCATCATTGGTTGGGGGGCTGTTGTTTTGATACCTCACCAGCATCTGCTTCAGGAAGAGGTTGGTTGTGAACTGCAGGGGTTGGGGAAGACACAAGAGGGAGCCTCAGCACACCTGCTCCCAAGAAAGGCAACATCTTCTGCGGAGCCGGTTGTCGAGGACACTGAGCATCCTCTTGGAGAGAGGCTAAACTTGGGCACCGAGCACAGTTGGCGGGGGCTGCTGTGGGTTTCCATAGAAGAAGAAACTACCGCCTGACTGGGGTAGACGGGTGTTCTAAGATGGGATAGATTAGGGAAACAGTGAGAAATAGAACAAGAAAGAGTCTGAATTGTGTCTTCCACAAGGCAGAACGTGCAGGGAGGCCACAGCATGGTCGAGTGATGACCAACGCTGGGATCACAGACTGGGCATTGGGAATCAGGTTTCCTAGGATCGGAAGTCTTGCTGTGGTCACTCGTCAGTTATGCGTCTTTAGATAACTTTCTTTGCTTTTAAGGTCCCTTGCTCTTTCTGAAGGAACCGCCTCTCTCTTTTCATTTAGAAAAGACAAGCAATACTTCCCATTCTAGGTTTCTGAGTATTAAGTAAAAACACACTCATTAATAGTGTGCATATCAGCATAACCAGCACACAGCCAGGGTTTAAAGCATGTCGGTTGCTCCCGTGCCAGCCAGTGTGGCCGTCATTTTTGCTCTATGCTTTGGGGACCATACTCACAAAGTCTCGCTGTGTCGCTGCTGTGATACAAGATGCCACTTCAAAACCATACACTATGAACATCATAATGAAGTACTGGGAAGGAAACAGAGGACAACAGAGAATTAGAACAGAAATCCCGCCACGTGATTCCTGTGAGTTTTAGCACATTCGTCTAAATGTAATACCCAAGTACTACGCAGTACAAGCTCTCTTTGACCAGGTGCTTGGAACGAGGCTAGTGCTAGGTACTAGGGACAAGATGGCATGTGGGTCAGCTCGGTTCTCGGCTTATCTCTAGAGAAATGGCCATTCAATTCAGAGTTTTCTCATCCAGCACCATGCATTTCTATTGGGGGAGCTGATATAAACAATGAAGGAATGTGCGGGGGTGGGTGTGGGTGGGTTCAGAGTCTTCGTGTACACACACACACACACACCCAGTGACTGGCAAGACAGCCTTGGTGCTTCATACACGACACCAAGCATTGTAAATCTCATCTAAGTGGGAGTCACTGTCTTCATGGATTGCTGAGAATGTAGAACTACGGAAGCCAGGAAAAGATGACAGAACACCTTCAATGCCCTGTGTCTTTCCTACCCAGGCTCAGCTGTAACAAGCAGGCAGCCTTCAGGCATGGAGACTCACTGGTGAGCTCCTGTCACCGGCCCATGTGACACCATCTCTGGTGAGGGCAGAGCAGAGCTCTCTGTGCGCTGCTTACGCTGTGCGCTGTGCGCAGGCGACGAGCCACTGTGGGTGGCCGGCTCTGCACAGCCCTGACCCCAGTGTCTGGCTGGAAAACAGCAGAACAGCGAGTGGATGCCTTTCAGTGCGTGCCAATCTCTTGTGAGAACTTGATCTCTCTGCCTTGCACACTTTTATACATGCACTGTTGCCCCTTATGCCCTCTTTGTGCAGAAGGACTATGGGAGTCAGTGGGGGCAAGATAGGGGAAGCTGTCTTCCCTTTTGTGGGGTATCTGTGCGTTCAAAGGTCAGGGCCATTTGCTGCTTTCACTATCTGGCCCTAAAACAAACCAAAACAAACGCAATCACCTCTGTGAAAAAAATCAGTAAAAAGGGCCTTCTGAGACACCAGAGACCCATACCCCCCACCCCCATATTGGCTGTTGCTCTTGCTTTCTGTCTAGAGCTTTGGTGGCTCCCCTCACAGATCCTCAGGATCCTCTACAATTAGGACAGAAAGGAGGCATTGGTATTGGCATTTCTCCTTCAGCTCCATAGAGAGGACTCTGTTCCTTGCCTTTCTTCCCTGGCTCAGTTCTGATTTGTCAGACACATATGGCTGGCCCAGAAGGAGCCCAGGGTGCAGTGGAAGCTGTCTTGAGGAAGATCCCCCTCTTCTCTCCCTCCCCCCTCCATGCCTTTCCCCGCTCTCTCAGAGTGGGTGTGTTTGCCCTGGAACTAACTCACCCAAAGGAGTCACAGAAGGTAAATATTCTGCGTTCCCAGGCACTAGGGCAATGCTTTACCTTAGGGACGTGAACCAGCAAAGCCCCTTAAGCGGCCGAGCTTCTTCTGTAGAAGTGGGACTCAGGGTAGCAGATTGACTTCAGGGGGAGAGAGGGGTGGGTGGGTGAGTGTGTATGTGCATGTGGTCACGACGGCATAACCTGATGGCCTGGGGCCCAGGAGCACAAGGCGGAGGTCTAGACCCAAGTGAGTTTCTTCCCTGCTGGCTAACTTTTCCACTTGCAAAGGCAGAGCATGATCTAGTGAGTGGCTTGAGACCACAGAGTGGTGTGAACTGGGTCACTCCCCATGGTGCTGTTCAGGGTCTTCCAGGGTTCCTGGACGGCAGACCCAGTGACAGTGTGGGAAGTCCGGGCCATCGCACAAAAACCGTAGCCTTGAACTCAAAAGCCTTCAGGAAGGTTCTGGTTTGCTTTGAAAATTTCATGTCTGTTTTGTATCTTAACATACCAATATTTGACTAATATTAAAACAATACTTAAAACTAGTATACTTTATACTTAATACTTAAAGCTGTTATCAAGGGAAGAACAAAATCAAACAAAAAGGCTCCCCCCCTGCCTGTGTCTTTTCCCCTGCTCATATAATTCCTGGCTGCGAATGTTGGGCACATGCAGACGGTAGCTGGAGAAGAATGTATCGGTACACATAGTCACTAGACCACCTACAGGTGTTTCTGTTTTCAGTTATTTTTACTGGCACCTGAACTTGCAATCATGGAGGGCATCTTTACAACCTGCATGGATGATCTCGCAACAGGGGATCTCCATTTGTTGTTATTTATTTATTTTTTTTTGTTTTTACCACTTACCTGGGACTCTTCTTCCACTTAGCTCAGTGCAAACCAAAGCTCTGTGCTCAATGGAGAAAAAACAGTTCAGCAAAATCGGCCCAGGAAAGCAACTGCAGAGAATTTGTTGTTGTTGTTTTGAGGAAGAGTCCCTTGTAACACAGGCTGACCCTGAACTTGCTACGAAGTCAAGGATTACCTTGAATTTCTGATCATCCTGCCTCTACCCACAGAGTGCTAGGATTGTAGATGTGCAATACCATACCCAGATAATATGGTGCTAAGGTTTGAACCCAAGACCTTATGTGTGCTAGGCAGGCACTCTATCAACTGGGCTACACCTCCAGTTCTCATCTCAGAGCCTTGTAAGGTCTTACCGCCAAGAGGATTTTCCTGCTGGACTTCATAATTCCTACAATGGCTAGAACGGACAAGCAGAAGAGGCAGATGCCCACAAACATGCCTATCCAAGCTGCCCCGTAGATATCATCATTGTTGGTGGCTTCAAGCAGTGGGTAGAGACTGTGTTGGTCGGATACAAAGAAGATACACTCTGCCGTCAGGGCGATGCCACACATCTGGAAACAAGCCACGAATGGATTTGTCAGGCTGGTGGCCAAGAACAGAGCACTGGGAAGGGGATGGGGGCAGGGTACGTTCTAGAGCCAAGTCCCTTCCCTTACAGAGGCTTTACGCAATGGATTCCTCATTGCCAGGAGATCCAACAACTATTTGTACTTTGCTTCCTTCTTCATATACCCTCTGTCTTTGATGCTTTCTTCCACATATAACTCTGTCTGTTTGCTATTTGGGAAAAGATTTAGGTAATCTCAGACCATCCATTAAGCCCCTGTGATATGACCCACTTAGCACTTTCTTGTATGAAAGTTATTCCCCATATCCTGTCTCATTGCAAATCTTCCTCTGTTGTAATACTTGAAGTGTCCTGGCCATTGTCACAGTGGTTCTGGAATCTTAGTGACTGTCTTCCCAGTGTTCATATTCTATGGGTGAGGAATCATGGCCCCAAATGATGATGACTCATCCACAGCTATACATAGAGAGGCAGAAATGGAACGGAGCCACAGACCAGCTCTCTTGACTCCTTGATTAGTGCTCTTCCCTTACCCTCATGCCCACACAGCTTGGCCTCTGAGACACTCTCACACTCTGTACAGAAGAACGTCTATCCCAGCACCTTCAATAACAGAGTCCCCAAGTCAAACCAACGTGAAACTGAACAGAAGCATAAAGGAATGTTCAGCAGGTGTGTTTGGATGTTGACCACGGTGAACATGACTCTTAAATTCATTATATCTTAAAATTGGAAAGGAAATATCTATTTTAAAGTTGATCATGGTGTTCTGTCATAATAGGTAGTTATATATGGCTATTTTAAGATTCTAGCGAGTATATTTCTTACCACATTTCTTAAAATGAAGGTGCTATAAAGGGGAGCAGTAATTATATCATTTTCTTAAACTTTCACTTTTAATTAATCTAAAAACCATGCTTACAAGAAGAATACGATTTTTTTGAAAACTACTTATGACTTACACCAACAATCACATGTCCAAAAATCAGCAGGCCCTGTAAGCAGCGAACAGTGGAATCATCTTTGGCCATCTTCAGGAGTTCCCACAAGCTGAGGACACAGTTCAGAGTGTTAGAGTTTGCCGGGCAGTGGTGGCACACGCCTTTAATCCCAGCACTCGGGAGGCAGAGCCAGGTGGATCTCTGTGAGTTCGAGGCCAGCCTGGGCTACCAAGTGAGTTCCAGGAAAGGCGCAAAGCTACACAGAGAGACCCTGTCTCGAAAAACCAAAAAAAAAAAAAAAAAAAAAAAAAAAAAAAAAAAAAAAGAGTGTTAGAGTTTGATGGGAGCAGGTAGCAAATATTGCTTCAATGTCTACACCATCACCAAGTCATGACATCACCTGTTTCCTTTTTTGCATCCAAATCAAAGTTGTGAGAGCTTTTAGTAATGGTAGAAATTTGATACCCGAGGTCAGCAATCATGGAAGTTTTATAAAGATTTTAAAAAAGGCCTTTATAAAAATAAAGGCTGTCAGAGTTTGATTAGTGCCTATCAGGAGTCCTTAGGGTATGAAGGACTCCAGTGTCATTATCCTGAGTCATTATTCTTCAAGGTTACCAGGGGAACAAAAAGTAGGTCTGTCATGGTGATGACCAGGCTGACAGACACTGATAGTCCCTGGTATGGGCTCTGCCATGCTTGAACAAGGCCATCTGCAGCCACAGGGAAACAAAAAGAGTTGGCTGAGATCACTACAGCCGGTGGGTAGATGTTAAATACTTTGTTATGCTAAAAAAGACATAAGTTGCACATAACAACGTTTTCTGTTATATAGGAGGCATGCAGAGAAAAGAGGAATATTTAGCTCCCCTGTGCACTCTTCTAGGAACCTCATGTACATACCAGATTCTCAGAACCCAGCTAGAGCAACAGTGTGGGAGAGGAGGAGGCTCTTTTGCACACCAGGAAATCAAAACCTAACTAACTGATAAAGCAGTACCTCCAAGGCCACATAGACCAGCGATAGCAGATACGGTGGCGTCTTTGGTCTGTGTGACTCCGAGGCCCACACTCTTCCCTGCAGCTTACACTAGCTCCTAGACACTATTTATACTGTTTATGCCAGATGCAACTAAACACGGACCTCTGTCTCCTTGAGGATCCTCTGGAAGGAACACAAGGTTAAGTGTTTGGGTCAATCGGTTTGGCTTCTGCCCTTGAGACACTGAGAAAGGCTGTTCACGTCCCTTGACACTTAAACTAATTGCCATTCTAAGTCTAAAGGTATTAAATGACAAAAATGCATGTTGGGGCATGTAAAGATGCATAAGGAAGATCGTTACATTCTAGGATTTTGTGCTAGAGGAGAAGCTAAGTTCTCAAGTAGCTATAATACTTAAGTAGATGTCTAAATACATGAGTGGGGTCTGGGTGCGAAAGACTCCAGCCTAGCTGATTATAGAGTCAGCCTTTGGATCAGGAGAGGAGAGGAGGATGTGAAGGGGGAAAGTGAGATGGACGGTAGGCATTCCAACGAGAGGACCAGTGAGGGAGGAGATTCAGAAGAGCGACGTGAAGACAAGATAGCGCGTCAGCCAGTTTGGCTGAACTCCTGGGTTGTGGACAAGATCTGCTGGGAGGAGCGTCTTGCTTGTTTTATTTCTCCCCTTCATGTTTGCCTTCTTAAAATCAGGTGTGTTTATGTGTCTGTGTGAGTGTATGCCGTATGTGTGTGTGGATGCCTGTGTAGACCAGAGGCTTTGGATCCCCTGGAGCTGGAGTTAGAAGCTGTTGTGAGTCACCTGGTGTGGGTGCTGGGACGTGAACTCAGGCCTTTTAGAAGAACAATTTGTGCTCTTAACTGCTGAGCCATCTCCTTCAGCCCAAGTCTTTTATACGACTCCGGCCTTGATAAATGTTAACTCCATTGTTGTACTATAATGTATGAATAGCCTAAGTAATTTAAACTAAATTACTAAATATTTTTCCATTTCTTTTTACCTTAAAGGCCGTGGCTATTTAAGGTGTTAAAAATGTATGAGTGTTTTTGGCTCAGGGTTTGGCACATAAACTCCTCCGTCAATGTTTGTCAAAGGAACAGAAGAATCTGGGCCCTTGTTACACCATCTTTCGACACCACCCACCCTGCAGAGTTTCTGCTTAGAGATGCCGTTTATTTATCTGGAATAATTCTTCCACATCAGAAGGGTAGAATCTATGGCGTCCAGAAGGCTCCGCCAGGAAGAACCTAACTGGTACAGCCGGATCAGTTACATTGTAGAGTTCAGTACTGGCACGCACGGACATTAATCCTGACCAGTTGGGCTGCTCTCTAAACCAGACACACAAATAAACCGACTTTGAAAGATAGAAATTCGGATAATAGGAACAGAGAGTAAAGGGCAAATATCTGGAGAGGCCAAGTTCAACATTGTCACTGACCAGCCGTGTACTGACTGACTTTACAACCATTTGTCCCACAGCCGTCTCTTGGTAGTGGTTCGTTGGGCTCAAAGGACAGAGAATTTTTTCTTTCTTTCAGGGAATCTAAAGGGGGACTCTAGCAACATGGATTTAAAAAGCACATTCACTGGACCCGGTGCTAATTAAGGGAAAGCTTTGAGGGATGTGGAGAAAAAGGAAGGGGACCAGGTAGAGTTGCAATAAGGGGTCTTAACTGGTCCAGAAGGAAGCTGAAGGGATCCTGAACAAGGGATGTTGCCCCAGTGACTGACAATGATTTCCCAAAGATGCTTTTGTCACCGAGCTTTAGAAGTGGGTAGTTACTGTTTGGCTTCCTGGCTAAAGCCAGGTGGAAGGAATAAGAGGCAACGACAGATCAGCACCACACGGGAGAATTCCAAGAGTCAGAATTAGGATGAGAAAATGCCGACCAGCATGGAGAAGAGAAGGGAGGGGGCAGGCAGGAGGCTGGTCTTGGGCAAGAAGAACCTGGGAGGAACCTAGACTGTGGCGTGGTAGGAGATGCTGGCGGGGGGGGGGGGGGGGGGGGGGGGGGGGGGGGGGGGGGGGGGGGGGGGGGGGGGGGGGGGAGTGGGTGGGGGGTGGGGGTTGGGTGGGAGCCCTCCTGTGGGTCGGCAGCTTGACAAAGAGTTGTATCAATAGGCAGGGTGCACTGAACTTGCTGTCTCTTTCGAATTTTTCAAATAGTAACCCAGAGGGCCACGCTTGTGTCTTGGGGCTGGAGAGATGGGGCGGCAGTTAAGAGCGAGTACCGCTCTTACAGAGTCCAGTTCTCGGCACCTGGGTTGGACAGCCCACGACTGCCTGTGACTCCAGCTCCAGGGGATCCAGTGCCCTCTTCTGGCCTCCAAGGGCACCTGCATGCTCGTGCATGCACCACTCTACTCCCTGACACCTAATTAAAAATAATTCCTTTTATTTTTGTTCTGTTTTGTTCTAAAGAGAACTATGCTTATTTTCCAAAATGACCAAAAGGAATGCAAGCTGCCACCTACCAGCCCGCACAGTGCTCTCTATTCTGTCAAGTACCTTTTGTTCATCTTCTCAATAGACCTAATAAATGGATATTTTTGCCAAAAAAAAAAAAAAAAAATCTGTGCTTGTTTCTTATTGCCATAGTAACAGATTTCCTCAATCTTACAAATATAATATCTGACAGCTTGGGGTCAGAAGTCTGAAATGAGAGTCAGTGGGTTAAAATCTGTGTTGGCTGGGCTGCACTCCTTTTAAATATTTTAAATGTTTTGCATTTCTGAGAGTTTCATGCATGAGTACTGTACTTACAATCACTCACACTTCCTTTCCTCTCCCCTCTAACTCGTCCTGTGCTTGCTTAATCCCTCTCAAATTTATGACCTCTTCTATACTTATTATTGTTTTACACACACACACACACACACACACACACACACACACACACACACACCTACTGAACCCATCTAGTGTTACTCCTATGAACCTGTATTTAGGGTTGACCACTTGGGATTGGATGACCCATCTGGGGGCTGGCCACAGAGAAAAGGGGTTTTCTCTCTCTCAGCAGCCATTGACTGCCTACAGCTCTGCATCTAGGGGTGGGGCCTTGTGAGATTTCCCCATCCACACTGGTGTTGTTGTGTTGAGCATCCCTATTGTTGAGATTTCACAGGATACATACTCCTTAAGGATCTAGACAGAGAACCTTTTTCCTTTCATCTTGACAATGAATAAATTCGGAGAGACTCATTTGCTCAAGGCCGTGCTTCCAGAAAGCCCAGGACCCAGAGTCAAATCCAAGTCATCCTGACTCTAAGTTATTTAACACCAGAGTTTAGCAGCCCTGACACAATGCTAACACTTTAAGTAGAAAAAGGAATGCCTGTCTAGCTTCCTTGCCAACTTGGGGACAAAGAGAACACATACGTTTTCTCTGTTCAGAAGAGCCTGTCTTGACAAAGGTCAGAAACGCCAGGCTTCCCTCGAACACTTGACTAGTTTCTTGCCGTAGCCTTTTCACGGGGCATTAACACACTAATATTTCCCCACTGTTATCCAGGAGCCCGGACAGGTGTTTTCCAAACCCACAGCTTTCCCCTCTACTTTCTGGAGATAAAGGGTGCAGTGTGAAGTCAGTGGGAGACCGGCGTTTGACAGCATTTCCTCAGCCACTTGCGTGCTCTTTCATGGCGATAGGGTCTTTGGCAATCGTCCAGACTAACCTCAAACGTGTGAGCTTCCCACCTCGGCTCCCAAGTGTGCCACGATGCCTGGCTTTGTCTCCTGTTTAGATGAAGTAGATGTTTGTGGCACCCCTCTCATAGCCGTAAATGTCTAGAGGAAGCCAAATGCGAGCTTCCTGTTGGTCACGGTATAGTCCGGTAGTTGTGGTCTAATGCTGAGCACGCTAAACTAGGCGGCAGGATGCCAGATTCGAAGTCAAGCCTTCCTGTCCAGAGTTACTCTGAACAGTGACCAATCTTCCTCGGGTCTATTTCCTCTTTTTTTTTTTTTTTTTCAGATGCAAACAGCAAGAGGCTTTATTAGGTGCACAGGTACCTGGGGCCAAGTCTCTCGGAGGACTTGCGCGCCTACCGAGGGCAAAGGGGACTTTTTATGGGATTTCAGGGGCAGAGGCGCGGTTACAGAAGCGAGAAGCATAGTTACAGGGTCCCTATTGGCTGTTTTACAGAGGGCCAGGGTGAACTTGGGGTCG